CACAGAGCAGCAGGCAGACAATCACTCCAGCACGGCAGCTAACAGGAAACACACTACAACCAGCTTCAGGAATGACACGTACCCAGGGAGTGGCACACCCAGACGCCGCAGGCCCCAGAAGAGCCACAAGCATTGTCTGAGGAGTCGGCAGGTGTGAGGGCTGGAGGGAGGGAGGGGCCTCTAGGGACCACGAAACCCAGGGTGGCCAGGAAGTCAGCTTCCAGGTTGGGGAAGACAGAAGAGTAACTGGAGTTACCAAGTGGAGAGTTCCCTGGAAGCCAAGCTGGGTTCTGGGTTTTGTTCAAGAGGCAAAAAGTGGCAGCCATAGAACCACACACTCAAACCAATTGAGCAAGCGGGAGAGTGGCCCAGAGGGCACGAAAACCTGGGCTGGAGATGAAGGAAGCAGCTGCGCACCCGCTAGCCAGCCCGCGCCCAGCCCCCAAGCGCCTTCTGTGCAGGGAGCGCCAGCAGATACGGGCAGGCTGGAGCTTCGCCTCCGCCGAGTGGGCAGAAATATCCCTGCTTTGAACCCTGCTCTGGCATTGGTGGTTCTTAACGGGAACTCTGGGGCCTTTACGATTAAAGGATCAAAGATCGTGGGACTTAACGCGTTGTCTGCACTAATTCAGGACTCGCAAAGAGGTCTTTCTCCCTCCTCCCAACATCCTTCCCCTTCCAACTGGACCATCTGTGCTTTCAGAGCCCTCCCTCCTAGAGGAAGCAGAGGAACCATCTCACTGGTGGGAGAAGCCCAGCAGTGAGCAAGAACCTCCTCCATCTGTTCCTCTTTCCTGCCCATCATCCACCCCTGCTGCCCCATCAGGACAAGGCTTACGAGACAAGGACGAGAACCGAGTTGACAAAACGCAGTAAATGGGCGATTTCCAACCGGAAAAGAGGAAGAAAGATGAATCAGCAGAATACATTTCCCTGTTCAAGCAGCCACACCAAAGATGGGGGTGGTGGACAGTGCTGGGTAACCAACCTGTGACCGGGATGCATGGGGGGGGGGGGGGGGGGGGGGGGGGGAGGTGCGGCTATCTCCTGTTTACACACATAGTTCATGTAAAAAAGATTCTCTGAAAGGAAAAGCAGAAGCCACAGGAGATGACACGATCTAAACAATACTAAGCAATGCTGACATTCGTGGCTTGGAAGATAGGTGGTAAAGCAGGCAGAAAGACCCAGTCTCCCGAGAGCGTGGCCAACCCACTGGGGAGGCCCAAGGCTGGTGGAGGGTCTGCAGCCAGACCCTAGACAGGAGACCTGCTGCTGGATGAAGTGGAGCCAGTTAGAGACGAAGGAAGGGTAAGACTAAAGCAGATCTGCCAGAGGCTCTTTTAGATGAGGGAGCGGGAGTACAGCAGGAGGCACAGGGAAGAAACCAGATAAAGAGAAGGGATTACAAAGGCCCAAGATGAAAGAGAAAAGAGCAAAAAAGGATTTCGATTCATTTCAGACTTGGAAATCAAGCCCTAAGAGTTCTGGGCCCAGGATTAGAGACGGGTGTACAAAACATTCTAACCCTGACCCTGGTTCCCCCACCTCTCTGAAATCCAATGTAACATGCCTATTATAAAAGGTGGCGTTTCCTTAAGTGGGCATTACTAAAACACATACTGTCAAGCAAAAGCATGCCTAAGCTTTCAGGGGCTCTTCCAAAGGCCTGGATATTTCCTAAAAGGCTGGCAGGCACTGAGACAACAAAGGAAAAGGCTGACACAGTCCATACAATTGAAGAATTCTGCCATGACAGAAGACATCAAGAAAAATGTGAAAACACAAAAATCAGACTAGGTCCAAAAACACAAGAATATCCGTTAATTAATAAAAAGGCAATAAAAATGCAACACAGGCTCTAAAAATCTCAGAGAGCACACTAACAGGCATCAGGCACCAGGATACATACTCACTCGCATCAGCAACCAGACACTTGTGGAAAACACTCGCGGAAACTAGACACCGCTTCCCATTTCTCAGATGGGAGACACTTTAGAAAACCTGGTGCCGGATCTGGGACAGTTCTGGCAGGGGTGGAGCATGCGCACATGCTGCTTTGAGAATGTGAGTCGTTACACATTTGTTTTGAGGGAAATTCAGCTACCTTTTGTAACTTTAAAAGCCAATCGATTTCCTTTCCAAGAATGTATCTGACTTCTACAATTGTCAGAAGACAGACAGGTGCCTACAATGTGCCAGGTACTGTTCTAAACTTTTGGAACACACAAGTGAGCTAAGCAAAGATCCCTGACGCCAGGAATAGAGGGGTGGGGGTGGGAAGCCAAGAAACACACTGAAGAGAGAGTTTGTGCCGGGAATGCTCCTGAGTGTGTGTGTGTGTGTGTGTGTGTGTGTGTGTGTGTGTGTTGCTCTAAGCTGAGTAAGGATGCGGGGGAGTGTTTTCTGTGTGTGCTGGGTATTCTTAGAAAGTGAAAACGGCAGAATAATATGTACGCGATGATCCCATTCTGTAAAAACAAAAACATAGATGGGGCTTGGGTATGAAGTCGTTGAGTCTGACCAGCCAGGTCACGACCACGGTCCGTGAGCTCGAGTCTCCGCCTGCCAGGCTCTTCACAAGGCTGATGGCTGAGCCTGGAGCCTGTTTCCCGACTTGTGTCTTCCCTGCCCCTCCCTGCTCATGCTCTGTCTCTGTCCCAAAAATAAATAAAAACTGAAAAAAAAAAATTAAAAAAAAAAAAACATAGGTAAACTATGTTCTGGAAAAATAGGTATGTCACTGTAGACAACAACTGCTTTTATGGACAATTCAGAGAACTTTTATTTATAGAATTTAGCATATGAACTTGGACTTTCTTTTAGCAATTAAAACTTTTTTTAACGTGTATTTTTCAGAGACAGAGAGAGAGAGACGGAGCACAAGGTGGGAGGGGCAGAGAGAGAGGGAGACAGAATCTGAAGCAGGCTGCAGGCTCAGAGCCATCAGCACAGGGCCCACCTTGGGGCCTGAACCCATGAACAGTGAGATCATGACCTGAGCTATAGTTGGAGGCTTAACCAAGGCACCCGGGCGCTCGTAAACTTGGACTTTCTTAATGCGCATTTGAATAAAAAGACAAGTAATTAAAAAATATATACGAAAGAATCAACAAAGACACACCAGAGACCAATGACCGGCATAGGGCTGCTGGGCGGTGAGAGTCACACAGGCTGGAAGATGGACAAGTTCAAGGCAACCTCTAAATGGCCAAAACACAAGCCCTTGAAACGTTTATGGTACCAAACGATTACAACTGAAATACATTCCTAGATGAATTGGCTGCAATAAAATGTTTAGATAAAATAACAAAACTTCACAGAGATGATCACACTTCCACACTCATTCCACTCTCGTAACACATGGCGTCCCTTCTACTCATGGACGGTATTTTCATCTAGGGTGAATTACAAAGAATAAGAACTTGACATCTTTGTCAAAATACTAAAAATCTACAACTGTTAGGTGTTTTTCAAAAAACCACCAGCCTCCCTACCTGCTCCCCCACATCTCAGGACACCCCTCCACTCTCTTTCCGAGGCACCTGGCCTTCAGCTACCCTGAGTAAAATACACTCACCCTTTTCTTCAAGCGCTCCCGCTCCTTCAGTGTGAGGGTGTCGGCTTTGGCAATGACAGGCACAATGTTCACCTTGTTGTGTATCGCCTTCATAAATGCAACATCTAAGGGCTTCAGTCTGTGAGGAGTGAGACAGTGCCACGAATTTAGGGGAAGAGCAGGGAGATCACACATTTTTGTTCTCTCAAAATTATCTCAATTCTTGTATTAAAATGTGCAATTGGGGGCAACGATCAGCCCACAGAGTAAAGACGAGACTCTAGTACACTTGGCTTCTGCGGCCAGTGGCCCACATACCCGTGGCCGAAAGGGGAGATGAAGTAAAAGCAGCAGTGCACCCTGTTGTCAACGATGTGCCGCCTGTTCAAGCCACTCTCGTCATGCAGGTACCGTTCGAACTGCTCATCAATGTAGGCGATGATGGTCTTAAAACTGTGAGAAACACAAATACTGACTATCGGATTCCAAAGGCAGGCAGTCCCAAACTTCAAAGACGCAGGCTTTTTCTGTCCCCTGCCTCCACACCAAATACAATTTGACAATCACTTATAAGATGGGGACGGAAAACTCACTCCTGTTTGGCAAGATGGATGTTTTTGGAAAGTGTGCCAAGCATAATCTCCCCCAACCACAGGGGGCTTAAAGGCCCAAAGGGAATAAGTAAAAGCACCTGAGGTGGGTGCCTGGGTGGCTCAGTTAAGCATCCGGTTGTTTTTTTTTTAATGTTTATTTTGAGAGAGAGAGAAAGCACACATGCACACTCCAATGGGAGGTGGGGAGTGGCAAAGAGAGGAGAGAGAGAATCCCAAGCAGGCTCCACTGGGAGTCTGGCCCGAGCCGAAATCAACATCTAACAGACTGAACTACCTAGGCACCCCAAGAGTTCAACTCCTGACCTTGGCTCAGGTCATGACCTCACAGTTCATGAGACTGAACCCCGTGTCGGGCTCTGTGCTGACATCGAGGAGCCTGCTTGGGATTCTCGCTCTCCCTTTCTCTCTGCCCCTCCCCTACCGGCGTGCGTATATGCGCACCCTCTCAATAAACATTTAAAACAAACAAAGTGAATGAAAGCATCTGAGGTGACTGAGTGGACAGAGGGCCGCCAGCTCTCACAAGGACTGTGTGCAGAGGGCAGAGGGGCAGCAGCAGAACACACGGTGGGGACAGGCGTGTGAAAGTGTGAACCAAAGAGCAGGGAGAGAAGGGAGCGACTCCCAAAGAAAGGAGACGGGAGACCCTTCCCCTTCCTTCCCTTCCCTCATCAGACGCTGGCAAGTTGATGCTGTCCATTGATGATGTAAGAAATTGCAGTTTCTACCACGAACGTGGTGCTCTCTGCGCAGCGCAGGGACAGACTGCTCTTCTGCTTGTAACTTTCCTTAGTTTTGCTCATGATGTCAAGGACCGAGTCTCTAAGGGAAAGGGCTAGACCACAATCTTCCCCACTGGCCAGGGTTGATTCAGATCAAGGGGTTTCGTTTATACTAGCATTTGATGGATGGTTGGCTCTTCCAGAAAAAATACTCCTTCTCTCTGAAATTCCTCACTTCAAATGTTATAATCAGCACACTTGTAAACTGTTTCACTGTATTATTATACACAGCTACCTCAAGCCTAGTCATCACTCATTAATGCTATGAAACCTGAATACGTTAGAGTAACCATAGCACTTCCAGGACTCCGTGTCCCCGAGGAGCATACCAATCCCTGCAGTTGATGGCGTCCCCGTAGCCGGGTGTGTCCACCACTGTCAGGCGCAGCTTGACCCCTCGCTCTTCAATCTCCACAGTCGAAGCCTCGATCTGGACAGTTCTTTCAATTTTCTCTAAAAAAAGAAACAAACTTAATGAGAGGATGTACCTAAAAACCGACCCAGTTCACAAGAGGAGAAACGAACTTGTTACCTTCTTATTAAGATACAAATGAACCTCACTACCTTTCCTAGAGGAAGGTTTTCCGAGCTAACACAAGAACTGTGTAAAAATAACCCCCAAGTTGGCAAGGGAGACCTGGAAGCTAAGATGAAACGGCAGCTCGGAAAAGTTAAAATGCCAACACTGAAAATTATGACCTTTGCTCACACAGCAGGCGCAGGCAGATACTTACACCCGTGGCAGTCAGCCACTTACAGAACTCTCACATGAGGAAACACCGTCCCCCGGCCCTCCCGTCAAACACAGAATACAGGCAGAAACTATTCCTTCTACTTTACCATAAAGGAAAACAAACTCGGAGACGATGGACCCGTGCACAAATGCCGAGTCTACAACCAAGACTCAAGGGCTGCAGGTCAGCACCTTTCCCGACCGAAAGAACGCTTGTCCTTGTGTTTCAAGCTGAGGCAAAAACACCAATTATGTGCTCTCAGCAGCTCTCGTGTAGCACGACACTTAACAGTCCTGCGGGGGCTTCTGTACCTGCGGCTCCAGGTATGATTCTTTCTGGGTAGAGATCGGTCAGGAACAGGCTGTTTATGAGAGTCGATTTTCCTAGACCCGATTCACCTTTAGATGAAAATGAAAACATTGTCATGACTTGACCTGTAAGACACGGTTCATCTCCTGAGTTTACGTGCGGGCTGGCACTAGGCTAAGCCTTCACAAACCCCATTCTCTGCACTCCATGTGACCACTACCAATTTGGTACAACTCTCCCCACTTCATTGATGGGGAAACGGGTGCTCGAAGGTTACTAAGTAGCGTTTGCTCAGAGAGCTGTCCAGAGCAGGGCCTTGATTGGAATCAAGGTCTCTGAGTCTCCAGAATTCCCATATGGTGAGATCAGAAACATTACCCTTAATTCTTCACGAATGTATACGATGGACTTTTAGAGGTGGGTCTTTATTTTTTGATAAATAGAATGCAAAGGTTTTCAGTTATGAGTTTTGGTAATTATTAAAGTTCCCAATTTTCAGGAAACTTATCTACCAATATCAAGTGCACTATGGCTCGCCAAGCTGTGGGAACCTGAACCAGAACACACGCCCAAGGCTGCGTCGCAGTCTGCATTTCTTCCTCCTGTCGCCAAGGCAGGGGCAGGCCACCTCCTCCCTTTCCTGCTTTACATACATTCCGTGCCCCAACACTGGCCCGGCAGCTGCCTCAGGTCAGACAGCCTGCCCACGCAACACTGTTGAGTGTGACATGACCAATTAAGAGAAACACATACTCATTCGAATATATAGAGTTAATAATGCTCTTCAACTACCATAATACTTGAATTCTGAACACTCTTGAGTTAAGTAACGTTTGTATTCTGAGCATCTGCAACTTAACTTCAAGGATGCAAAACACCACAAATGAAATATCTTTTAGAAATGTTTATTATTTTTTTGAGAGAAAGAGAGTGCGAGCAGGGAAGGGTCATTCATAGAGAGAGGGAGAGAGAATCCCAAACAGGCTCTGTGCTATTCGCACAGAGCCCAACACGGGGCTCGATCTGATCATCCGTCAGATCATGACCTGAACCGAAATCGAGTCAGAGCTTAATCTACTGAGCTACCCAGGCGTTTCCCACCCCCCCCAACAAAATGAAATATTACATCTTAAGGAAGCATGCACAGATGCCATCATTTCACTGTAGCTGTTATCAGCTAAGGCTACATTCCGCGTGGAGAAGTGCTTCTGAACTCGGTGCCTGACTATCTCCTGGGCATCTTGGTCTGAACCTCCCTCTGCTAAGTCCTGTGCAGCACGTGGAGGAGCACACATCTGTTTTGAAAATTATTTCCGGTAAAATGAAGTACAAGAGTAAATTTGAAATGAGTAGACATATAAAATCAGGACTGCGCTTTAATTGGATGGCAATTTTCATACGTGGAAAGGACCACCAAGAGGACAAAACCAGAATTACACGCTGAACATGTCCAAATAAAAGAGCATAAAAATATGCCACCAAATTATCCTTTTAACAAACTGCCCAGCAGTTTACGTCTTTATCACAAAACGAAGAGGTCTTGCCAGTAAGCGAGTGCTCAGTCTTTATGTGTGCCTGGCACAGCTCCATGTGCTGGACAGCTAAATTCCTGCTCCCGTGCAGACTGGCAGTCCAGTGGGGAAGACGACAAACGAGCAAGGTTACTTTGCCACCAGTGAAGTGGTGACAGCTGTGGGTAATGAAGCTGAAAGGGAATGGGGCTCAGGAGACATCTCAGCAGAGGTGTTTGAGTAGAGACACCTTCTTTAAAAGAAAAAAAAAAGCAGTTGCAACATTCCAATGTCTGATTCTGAATTACAAATCTTCACTTTAAGGGTGGAAGCATCTTCCCTTGGAATGGCTTTCAGGCAGCACCTACAAGTAATTAACTCATAAACTCAGAACATGATGCTGCTGTTGGGCCGAATCTCTGGGCGTGGCTAGCTTTGTGATTTCTCGTTCACCAGTATCTCTGTCCCAGAGGCGTTTCTCAGGCGCCTATACACGGGAGACACAAGAGCTCAAGAGGCCCTGGAGTGTATATCTCACAGCATAAAATGCACGGGGCTGAGCAACCCTACGTAATTGTCCTGCACCAGTGATGACAGCAGAAGCTGACTGGGATGGGAGGTACTCAGGGTTTACAAAACGGCTTACATTCTCACCAATCGAGATACACAGCACCAGGCACAAGGGGGCGCCGCCACATGAAGAATATGCACAGGAGGAAAGGGAGCTTGGGTTTACAGCATCCTGAAATCCCATCAGGCTCAGGGTCCCAGAGATCCCAGAAGCTTCCAATTAAAACCTACGCGAACCCTCCCATCCCCCCACAAAACTTAGGCCAAGCCAGGAATGCTAGGAAACAAAAAGCTCCTAACCTGGGTGGAGGGTGTCCTCCTCACATTTACTTTTCAATTTTAACCAACACAAGAAAGCGCTTGCTTTCTCAAACACCCTGCAGCCAGGGCCACCTGGGAGGGCCCCGAAGGGCAGCACTCTAAGTGATCCCTTTTTTGCCCAGAGCCAAGCCATTTCACGGGGTAAGGATGCGCAAGCAGGCCGTGTCCCAGGTGCATGTGCCCTCATGAACGAGTCCACCAGGACACAAGTGTGCATTTTCAGGACGCGTGAACCTACAAGGATTCGTTCTCTTAGCTTAGTTCCGGAGTCTTCGGAAGTGTTCATTCTGTAACCCTCTTGTGAATTTGGTCACACTATCCATTCTTCGCACTTTCTACCAGGTAATATATATATTTGACAATAGGCTTTCTATTTTTAATTTTGCTTTTCTTGTGAACAGACCCACCACCCCCAATACTCGTGGGGAGGCTGGAAACTTGATATGAACTATCACCAACTATCACCATTTGGCCAGACTTCAGCAGCACAGGCACCACATTCCCTCACGAGCAACTTGCCACTGGGCTTTGATCTGTGATGTCTTTAAAGAACTTATTTGTGATTTTTAAGTCCTTCTTCCAGATTGCTGCCCAAACATTTGTAGTTTTTCACTTGCATATATGACCTTTTTATGAAATTTCTTATTCCCTTAGATGTTATCTGCAATTCTGAAAACACCTTTTTCTTTTTAAAAAAAAATTTTTTTTTCAACGTTTATTTATTTTTGGGACAGAGAGAGACAGAGCATGAACGGGGGAGGGGCAGAGAGAGAGGGAGACACAGAATTGGAAACAGGCTCCAGGCTCTGAGCCATCAGCCCAGAGCCCGACGCGGGGCTCGAACTCACGGACCGCGAGATCGTGACCTGGCTTAAGTCGGACGCTTAACCGACTGCGCCACCCAGGCGCCCCTGAAAACACCTTTTTCAATAGCGTCTGACTTGTTACAAGGTGGGTGCACTGGCCTTTTCCTGATACAGGTTCTCCCTCTACCCGAAAGTAGACTGTTCCTAAGCCCAAATGGTAGAAAGCAAAAAAAGCATTATACCACTCACTTAGATGGAAACATTTTTTGACACTCCTAGCTTTAAAAAAAAAAAAAAAAAATCACCTCTCAGCCTTTCTGATACCTTAGAACACATCATAACAGGTGCACAAAATCAGTCGAGATAAAGTCCAGATGCTCTCAGACAGCTCTGGCAGCCGGACACCGAAGCGCTTCGCGAGGAGGCTCGGCGGGCGTGCTGCCTCTGCCACAGCTTGCTGCAAAACCTGCTGAGCTCTTGCTGGTCTTTTATTACTGAAAACAGGCACTACTACAGGCCTTTCATAAAAGTGGCATGCCAGTAACTTTCAGAAAGCAGGGGATACCTGTGTATCATTTTTCTTGTGCTTCTAACAGGTACAATTTAAAAGTTGAGGGTTCTCGTGGTTAAGTTTCTAGGTGTTATTCACTCCCCGTCTCACCTTTAATTCCCTTACTACTTGCTTTATTTGAAACCCACTTTACTGAGGTGTAACTCACATACACCTCAGTTCAACAGTTAAGTGCACTCATTTGAACTGTACTGACGGATTAGTCTGACCAAGTACACACTCAGATAAATAAACTCAAGATAGAAAGGATCTCCATACCATGAGAGCTCCTTTGCCTAAGTCAGAGTCAGCTCTACCCCTCTCGTGTCATTATATGCATACACCAATCTGCTTTCTGTCTCTACAGACTGGTTTTGATTATTCTAGAACTTCACAAACATGGGATCATACAACATGCCTTCTTTTATCTGGCTATTTTGGCTCAGCACAATCAGCTCTGGAGGTTCATCCACGTCACGTCATCCATCAGCAGTCCGTTTCCTTTTCTCATGTGGACACATCGTGACATGTTGATCACCCTCTTGCTGGGTACACCTGTGTTACATCCAGTTTGGGCCACTGCAGGGAGAGCAGCTGTGAACATCCAGGCGCAGGCTCTGTGGTCATGCTATCATTTCTCCTGTGTATCTGCCTAAGAGCGGACGGTCTAGTTACACAGGGAGTAACAGCTAAGAAAGCACCGAACTGTTTCCAAAGTGGTTGTTATCACTTTACACTGTCACTAGCCACTAGGAGAGGTGCGTCTGTCCACATCCTCGCCAACACTTGGACTACCGGACTTTTTGCAAATTTCAGCCATTCCAGTGAGCGTGTGGTGGGATCCCGTGGGTCCTGGCCATTCAGGATCTCCTATGAAACGTCTGTCCCAATCTCGTGGCCCTTTCTGTAACTGGGTAACCTATCTTCTTTCTGAGCTGTTCGGGTTTATGTTCCGGATAGGAGTCCTACGTTGCACGTGGTGCTGTGAACGCTTTCTCAAGTGTATGACCTTCTCTTGTTTTCTGAAGAGAATTTTTAACGAAGTGCAACTTTGCATTTATTTTGTGATTAGTGTTATTCACGTCCTAAGCAATCTGCTTACTCCAAGTCATGAAAATTTTCTTGCCCGTTTTCTTCTAGACTTCTTACAGCTTTACAGTTAAGCCAACAACCCACTTGGAGTTAAGTGTGTTGTACGGTGTGAAGGAAGGTTCACGTTCGCTGCCCACCACACGACCACGCACTTGGTACAACACTGTTTGTAAATGGCTAACCTCTCCCCCTCTGTGTCACCTTGGCACCCTTGTCATGAATCAGTTGATCATGTGTAC